CACTCTGAGGGCTCCCAGCAGGTGAGCAGCAGCAGAAGGCTCCCACAGAGTCAAGGTGGGGGGCGTCGGGAGAGGAGTCAGCACCTCCCACCCACCTGAGCCTTGCAGAGACTGTTGGGGTGAGCGGAGGTGCGTAGGGCTGTGGTGAGGCATTTGGAAAGGGCACCGAACTCAGAGCCTGGCATTGACTTCTCTGTGTAGTCTCTGTGACCTGGGGCAAGTTACTTGCTCTGAACATTTGCAGAAGAGAAATCCCATTAAGAGAAAAATTCATTTAAAACAAAAAGGTGCGGCAGACCTCTCCTGGCCCACCCACTGCTCCCCTCAGCAGTGTACTTGGTCGATCTGCCTGTTCTGCTCCCCACTCTGTCTCTGGTGAACCCTTGCACCGCCCCTGTACCCCAATTCTGTATGCACAAATAAATCTTTAAAAAGATAAAGTCTTGCCACCTGTTCTGCTCCCCACTCTGTCTCTGGTGAACCCTTGCACCGCCCCTGTACCCCAATTCTGTATGCACAAATAAATAAATCTTTAAAAAGATAAAGTCTTGCCACCTGCAACAACATGGGTAGAACTGGAAGGGATTGATGCTAAGTGAATAAGTCAGATGGACAAAGAAAAAAGCCGGGTGATGTCACTTACATGGAACATAGAGAAACGAAGCAAAGGGTCAGACTAAATCAACCAAATCTGACTGTGGACTTGAGGTTGCAAGACAGGGAGTGAGGAGGAGGGGGAACAGACTCCCCAGTGGACCAGATGGGACGGCGGGGGCCCAGATGGTGACTTGCATCTGAGGGTGACATCCAGTGATGCTGTGAGCCAATGTTACCTCAGTAAAAGAGAATAAGAAAATGCATTTTGAGCCACATATAAATTATCACCTTGCATCCTAGAATGTTAGAGATGAAACAGCACTACGATGTGATCACTTAGTCCAACCTTTTAACGGTGTAAACAGGGCCCCAAAAAGTCAAGTGACTCACGCCAAAGCCACCCAGGCACCGAGAGCCACCCAGGTCCTTAGCACTTGAGCCAACTGACTCTGAAACTCAAGTGAATGAGCGGCAAACATCAAAATCAGTTCCTGTGTCAAACCAGTCACATTTCAAGTATGTGTGGCTTCACAGGGGAGTGGCCACTGTAGTGGACAGCATAGGCCTAGAACTTTTCCATCATCCCAGAGTTCTCCTGGGCAGCCCAGCTGGAGGTCAGAACTCAGATTCCATCCCCTGCTTCTGACCCCCCAGGCTCAAGATTCAGCAAAACTGTGGGGCAGGGGAAGGCTGTGCCTCCCAGGCCCGGGTCGTGAGGATGCCACACTGCCTCTTACAGATCCCATTAAAACTGGCCATCACTTAGGAAGTGATTCATGAAGCCCTCTGTCTTGCTTATCAGAGCCAAATGGATTTCTTTCGTTGATAAAATGAGAAGATGGAAAGGTTTTTGCTGGGTTTTTTGGTGTTTTGGTTTTGTGGTATGCTTCTATTGAAGTGACTTGAGAACAGAATATGTTTCATAAAAAGGCCAACTCTGATGTGCTCTGAACCGATATATTTCCATTTCTTTTAAAACGCACTTAGTCAACGACCCATGCTGCCCCCCTCCAGAGCACGGTCCCCATCCTCACTAACAGCCTGAGGCTCAACACTCTGAACGTTTCATCTCTGCATGGGGAGAGAAGCCCATGGAAACTTCTACATAGGATGGTGCAGTTGGAACACAGGGGTGAAGCCCAGGCCTGGTGGAGCCATTGCTGACTTGCCCAAGCCCATCCAGCCTGCGTGACAGAGGACAAGGGAGGCTTTTGCCTCCCGCAAAGCACACGCTGTCTGGGAGTCCTCGACCAGTGGGATTGTTAAGGGGAAGGATGTCCCAAAGGAACTCTGCAGAGTCTTGTGGACACCACCCGCTACTCCAGCTTTCTGGACCCTACGCCCTACTCCAATGATTAGAAACCACAGCTCCCAGCAGTACCAGGGAGAGAACTGCGAGGACCCAAGGGCGGAGCTAGCAGGAATTCTGGGACATTTGGGGGATAAATAGGGCGCGATTGATTGCACCTCTCGCTCGCTCGCTTGGGTAACGGCTCTCCAGACCGCGTGACTCGGTGTGTTCAGTCAGCCTAGCCATAAGGTATTCCAGTTACTGGTATCCGGCTCTCTTTCCCTGGGTTGTGTCCTGTTCCTTTCCCCTTTTGTAAATAAACCCGTTATTGATCCTTTTGTGTGTCCCTGCGGTATAACTGAGTGGTGAGCGCCGGTGAGGCCCCACAGACAGGCGGCCCAGTCCACTCTGGGCTGCCCTGTAACAGGATGAGGTGGGATGATCTTCGTGGAGACAGACACGTGTGTGCACATTGGCACTCTACCACGGCAGATCCTTGCTGGCTTGGACGTGGAAGGCTTCGAGGCCAAGGGATGCAGGCAGCCCCCAAAAGCTGCAAAGGACAAACATCACCCCCCTGGGACTTCCAGAAAGGAACACAGCTCCACAAGCGCCTTGCTTTAGCCCAAAGAGGCCTAGGCCTGGTCCCTGACCTCCAGAAGCAGAGCAGCAGCCACTCCTGCTCAGGGTTGACAGGAGAGGCGCCCCGACCTGTCTCTGGACCAGACGGCACAGAAGCAGTGTGACCTTCAAAACCAGAGACCAGCAACGCGTGCGATACTATAAAATCTCAGCAAAAAATTTCAGAAACAACATTAATTGCATTTTGAGGTCAACAGATAACAAGGAAGACGTGAGGTGAGGGTCAGCCATCCATTCCCTCTCAACAGTGAGCCCCATGCTGGATCCGGCCTGTAGAGGCCCTGGCAGAGCCTGAGAGCGCCCGGCCCTGCGGAAAGTCTGGCTGGAGGTCGCAGCGGCTCTGTGGCAGGAGAGAGCAGGCTGAACCCCAGAGCCCGGCGCTCCCAGCCTGCCGTCAACCGGCCAGCCCCGTGCGGGAGGTTGTGCCAGTTGTCTCCTTTTCTTAACGAGCAGCTTCCAGGAAGTAGGGGGAGGGGTGTTTGTGTGTGTGGAGACCTGTGTGTGGCTGGGCCGGGGTGATTTTCAGTAGCAAGTGTGCAGGAGCATTTATGCTCTGACACACTCCTCATGATAAGCCCGAGTGATGGTGTCCCCACGTCACCCACAGACGGGGCAGTGGGCCTGCATGGGCTCTTCTGGATGTACCAGGGCCACGAGCAAATAGAGGATGTGGTTCAAGTTTGAATTCCAAGAAACCACAGAAGACTTTCTCCAAAAGTAAACCTTCACCACCACCCAAGCATGCCGACTTCTAAAAACATATCTGGCTCCCCAAAGAGAACGTGACGCTTGCTGGCACCTTCTTATCCTACAGTCATCCTGTTCTGCTGACCTACAGTCATCCTGTTCTGCTGACCTGCTGTGATTTAGGCCTAGAAAGGCCTTCAGTTCGAGCCCTATTCTCTTTGCTCAAATCCCCCTTTCAATCGCTGCCCAACGGGAGAGGTGGCTTGCCCAGCTGAGACAGGGGCCAGGCCTCTCTCACACCCCCTCAGCCTGCCTCTCCAGCACCCTGAGAACTACCTTCCCCGAGATCTTATGTCACGTGGAATTTCGTAGATTGGTGAATTTCGACCCTCAAGGGGACACGTGCATGGTAGATATCCGGGACCAGCCCCCCCGCCCCCAGCCGGGGGGAGAAGCTCACGGCAGGTTGATAGAATCAGACTGATGGGCTGGCTGAAACATGAATGAATACTCAGACACACCACAGGCTGTGAAGGGACAGTCCCCAAGCCTGGGTGGCCCTGGGTGACACCTTCCACTGTCTCTCCTGCCACGCCAGATCCGAGCCCGCATCCCCAGGGAAGCCACGCCTAGGGATGCCCAGTGACACCTTCAAGCACTAACATAGCAAGCACAGCACAGCTTTCCTGGACGTCCTGGGCTGAGCTTTTGGAAAGGGACACGCGTGTGTTTACAGTAGCAGGGAGGGACCTATGTCCTGCGCCGGCCCCCGCCCTGGTGTAGGTAGGCCAGGCGGCTCGCTAATCCGCTTGTCAAAGAAATTCGCCTGGCAGGTGTCTGGGTGCAGCTGCAGAGTCTCTCCCAGGGGAATTCAGCCACGCCAGGAAAATAGCAGGCAGGGGGAGGTGCCCGCATCCCCAAACACGCAGCGCCAATGCACACATCCGCCCACAGGGCTGCCCACTCGGGGCATGAGCGCGCCACCACCCCCCATGCACCCACGGCCCAGCAAAGGTGCCCAGGGCAGCGCAAGCACAGTTACTCCCCTGGACCTCGTCACCTGAGGGGCCGGAGGGGGGGCAGTTTCCTTTTTACTGGCCTGTGTCGCCGAAGAGAAAACTGGAGGTGCTACCGCTTTGCCAGGGCCAGGCAGCTGGGCAAGGAGACTCCAGACATCACATCTGCCTGCCCTGTGCTCCTCCCAGCTCCCCACTGCCTTCCTCAGAGGACAGCTGTCTCCCTGGGTTAATACAGCACTTGCTCCCACTTGCTGAAACACTCTCCGACATCTGTGCGGTCCGACTTACAACTACCTTCTTTTTTTTTTTTAAGACTTATTTATTTATGCATACAGAACTGGGGTACAAGCCAGAGGTGCAGGGGCCATGAGGATTCACTGGAGACAGAGTGGGGAGCAGAACAGGCAGATCGAGGGAATACACCGCTGAGGGGAGCAGCGGGCAGGTCGGGAGAGGTCTGCTGCGCCATGTGGGTCAGCTCCCTGGCTGGGAATGGAACTCACACTGAAGCGGCTGTGCCAGCTTGCAGTGCTGCTTCCTAACCTGCTGAGCCGCGGGGAGGGCCTGACTACCTTCTAGGAGGTTTTGTACCAACATTACAGCTAGAGAAGCTCAGAGAGGTTAGGTGACTTACTCAAGGCCACACAGCAACTAGAGGCAGAATGAGGCTCCAGAGCCCCACTCATTGGCCCCGAAGCTCCTTGGACCCAACCACCCAGAAGAGGGGCAGCTCCCCGGGCCCCTCCCGCTCCAGGCCAAGCTACCTCATCGCCACGTTGCTGCCGTCGATCACTATGGGTCGCAAGAGACTGGCCGGGCTTCCGCCCTCCTCTTCCAGCCTGTGCTGGGCAGAGTCCACGGTCCCACACGAGCCCCTGGGGATGAGCAGAGGCACCGGGCCAGCCTCGAGGGCCCCGGGGCAGCTGCCCGTCTGGATCAGCTCCTGCAGCACGTCGTTGACCAGGGCGTCCTCACCCAGCTTGTCCAGCACCCTGACCACGTGCTCCCTGCTGTAGCCCAGCTTCTGGAAGAACTCCATCTTGTTTGAGCCCTCCATGCTGCACCAGCTCCGGGCAGGGTTTCTGCTCCTGACTCCTCTGTGCAGAGTCCCAGCGTGTGAGCTACAGAGAGAAAGCATCCATCAGATGGCGTCTGGGCAGCCTGCTCCGAGGTCTTTGGGAAGCTGGGGGCAAGTGATACATGCTCCGGCCCTGGCCGCTGTCAGGAAATCATGTTGAGGCCTGGTCCCCTTGGGGATTTTCAGTTGCTCAGTGTGGTTGAGGAGCCACAGATGCAATCACGTGGCTTTTACTCATGAGCGCTCTGAACCTGCACCCCACACAAGTGCCACCCGGGGACCGTGGCCAGAGGCACTGAAAGCCGCTGAGCAGGCCACCCCACACTGGGGACAGCTGGATATTTTCCACTCCCAAATCATTTTCAGATAATAATACCGTACCATGGCATTTACTGTGAAACACCAGAACAGTGCAGAAGCACAAAGAGTAAAAAGCCACTGTGTCTCTTTACACACACCCAAAGCCCACTTGCTTCCTGGCTAACCCCTGGCTCATGTCCCTCCAGAGCTGCTTCTGGGCACTAACTTGCCTCTGGAACTGATACACTCATCTATCGGCTTCGGGGGAACGTTCAAATTGCATCATATTGCAGGCTTTGCTTTTCTCATCTAAAATGCATCTGGTGGGGGCCTCCCTGATGGTGCAACAGGTTAAGTCGCATCACTATGAAGCTATCAGCAGCCACTGCAGCACGAGTTTGATCCCCGGCCAGGGTGCTGACCCACATGACTGGCGTGGCAGACCTCTCCTGTCTCCCTGCTGCTCCTCTGGGCAATGTAATTAGTCAATCTACCTCTTCTGCTCCCCACTCTGTCTCTGGTGAATCCTTTCACCCCCACATCTCTGGTCCATGCTCCAGTTCTGTATACATAAATAAATAAATCTTTTCTTAAAGATTTATTTATGCAGATAAGAGCTAGGATGCAGGACAGAGGTGTAGGATTAAGAGGAGTCACCTGAGACAGAACAAGGAGCAGAACAGACAGATCAAGGAGCAGAACAGGCAGATCTACAGACCAAAGGGAGCAGGGAGAGGTCTGCTGCACCAGTCATGTGGGTCAGCTCCCTGGCCGGGGATCGAACTCATGCTGAAGCGGCTGCAGCTAGCTTTGCAGTGCTGCCCTTTAACCCGTTGCACCACCAGGGAGGGCCCCAATACAAAACCGCTCCTGTGCCTCTGGCCTGTACCCCAGTTCTGTATGCATAAACAAACAAATCTTTAAAAAATAAAAAATAAATAAAATGCATTTGGGAAGTCTTCCCATGCCAGCTTACTCTTCTACTGCCCACCCTACCCCAGGCGCTGAGAACGGTGCCTGCTGCGGCTAAATCTCAGTGAATGAGTAAGTGGGTCAATGAGTGGCGTAAGGCCCGAACGAGAGGAACGTCGATAGTCTGCCATCTTTCGCTGCTACAAGTCTTGCTCCATGAGCATCTGTCTCTTCACCCCATGCCCCTCTCAGCTGACAGGCTTCCACCCACCTCCTCGCTCCTGTGGGGGCCCTCGGGCATTCACGCCTTCTTCTAGGTTCCCCTCTGGCACCCACTCTCCTGCAGGCCCTCTTCCAAAGGGCAGGAGCCCAACAGAACAGCAGTGACCGGCTCCGGCCAGGGACGGGCACTTCTCAGTCCACCTTGAGGCCAGAGTGGCCTCTCTAGAGACCCCTGCCTGGTCATTGCCTGCTCCGTGTGGCCCCTCTCTGACCACTGAAACACCAAATCGCCCCTCCAAGGTCACCAGTGACCACCTAGCCACCAATGCCAAGAGCAGCCACGCATCCTGCACCTCACATGGCCTCTCAGCTGCCTTTGACTTATTTTAAATAGAAGATGTTGGCACGACCTCGTCCTTGAAACACTCTTCTCCTTCAGTTGATTCGAGTCTCCCCCTAAGGTCGCTGCTCTTCCCTTACCTCCAAGGACTTGTCCAGGGAAGGAGCCGTGCCGGACCCCATTCCTCCCCCTGAGTCCCTCACCCATGAGCCCACAACTGCACCACCTCTCACTAAGCCAGGCAGACGTGGTTCTAAATCTATGAGGTGCTATCTGAAGGGAGCTGTGGAAATTCAGCTGCCCTTCACCTCAGACCTGCTGAGGCAACTTCAGAGGTTCTCAGTGTAGTCCAGGGACACCTGAGGGAAGAGTGGTGTTCATAATAGTGCCAAGGTGTCGTCTGCTTTCTCTCCCCCTTTCGCGAGTCTCCAGTGACGTGTGCCAGTGGCTGTGAAAATGCAACAGTTGGATGTACAAGCGGATATGAGATTCCAACCAGGTACCAAAAAGATTCACAAAAATACAAATCGGTGCTAGTCTTCCTACTAATTTTTTACCTGGCTCCCCTAGCATTCCAGAACTTTCTCATCATGGTGCTCCTACATATGTGTTCCTCTCTCTTTAAAATGCTCTTTTTGGGCCCTCCCTGGTGGGTTAAAGCACAGCACTAAGAAGCACTAAGAAGCTAAAGCCACTTCCTCATGAGTTCCATCCCCGCCTGCCCTGGAGGTGACCACATGGCGTGGCAGACCTCTCCTGACCCGCCCGCTGCTCCCCTCAGCAGTGTACTTAATCGATCTGCCTACTCTGCTCCCCACTCTGTCTCTGGTGAATCCTCCCGCTGCTCCTGAACCTCTGGCCTGTACCCAAGTTCTGTGTTCATAAATAAATAAATCTTAAAATAAATAATTAAAATAAAATAAAATACTCTTTTCAGTTTGGCAAACTTCAAGACTCAGTCCAAGGGCTCAGCCCTGACAGACAGACAAGGCCTTGGTCTTCTTATCCACCAAGCACTTGGCTTACACCTCTGTTATGACATGTTGGAGTATAACTTGTCTGGCTCTCAAGAAACTGTGAACTATTCCAGACCTTCTTCCTCAGAATCACCAGGAACTGGCATACTGCCTAGCACATCTGAGGAGTTGAATAAGTTTTTCTTTAATAGATGTTCAAAGCTGAAACTATCTTCATTTCTCAATATATATTTTTTAATCTTGGATTCCCAGTTTCCTTGAGTGGCGTCTCCCGAGCCCAATGGAGAAGACTCAAAGTCACCTGACCTCTCTCAGTTCCCGCCTTCTGCATCCAGTTGGTCATTAGTTCTATGTCCTGGATCTTGCCCATAACCTCCCTCTCCTTTCCACTCACATACTACCACTTTAGTTCATTCATTCATTCTTCACATTCTTCTCTCAGCCATTCATCCACCATCATCTGCCCATCCATGTAACAAACACTGATTGGCTAGAAGGCTCCCGGCACTGGGCTGGGACCCAGTTCTAAAACAACAAAATAAAACAGTCTGATTGCAATTTGCGCATACCTACTCAGGAAAACAGAGAGATGTAAACCAGCCAGAAATCATGAGAATAAGCACAATTCTTTCAATTAGAAAAATGTGCTTTCAAAAGAGGTCAGGAGTGACTCATCTTCCTTTGAGGTAAGAGGGGGCCTGCAAAGCCCTCACTGAACTGGACAACAAAGAAAGCACTGGCTTTTCATACCAGAGGGCACGTCTTCCCTCCATGGGGCTCCGGGAAGTTCTCCTCACCACCCTCCCACCCACAGCAACGCTAGCCCAGTCCCCATGAGGGACGGCCTTGTCCCTCTGTCCTGTACAGTAAGTGTCAAAGGTGCCATGGCTCTCCAGCCCCACTGGTCAGGCACCTCTAGTCCAGCCTCACCTTCTACCCCTTCACTAATGGGGTCCAGCCTTGATCTAATCATGGAAAAAGTGGACACTCACTCAGCCCAGCAGGCACCCTCACGGATTTGCTCACGGTCCCTGAAGACCCCCAGGCCTCCTCTTGGATTTTCCCTCTCCCAGGAGGCCTGCCCCACCCCTAACCCCACTGTCCTGTCCTCTGGGAAGACTTCCCGGGACAGAGAGCCCAGCAACACTCCCGCCCCCATCTGTACACTTAGGCCCCAGTTGGGTTTGACAGAGAAAGGAGTGGGAGAAAGAAAGAGGGAGGAATCTAAAGTGAGAGAGAACAGAGCAGGAAGACAGCAGGGGGCATGAGTGGGTGTCATGTAGGCCTTCCTGGCTTCCGGTCGCTCCCTGTAGAGAGCCTTCCTTGCGACTCCCTCCGTAGGTAGAAGACGGGGAAGACAGACGCCGCCCCTTTGCACAGACGGAGAAGCAGAGAGCAGGCTATAAACGAGCAAGTGGCAGAGAGGGGCCATAGCAGGTGCCGAAAGAGCAGGTTGCTTGAAGCTGTGTTCACAACAGAGGCAAAGTCTTGTCTTTGACAAATAGGAAAACCCCACACTGGGCTGGGCCAGAGGACGGCTCTCACACAAGTGAGTCCCTGTTAGTTTTGTGACTAACTGGTGTGGCTGAAACATAAGCGTTTTCAAGATGAAAGTCCTCAGGGGGGAGAGAGAGTGGCCACAGGAGGTCCGGTCCTCTGCAGCTCCCCACTGACCCCAAGTTCCAGCCTCAGCTTCCTTGCTGCACCACTTCCAAACAGGCGTGGAACGGGAGAACTGTTTTTACACAAATTAACTGAAAGAAGCCACCGACTTCCGAGACCTCACTCCCACCTCAAGACTTCCATTTTCTTCCAGAGCTTCTAAAAAAGGGAGAAGTTGGGGTAAGGGGCTGTTCTGGGAGCCCCCAGCCCCCGGGGCATAAACCTCCCCTCTCACGTGACCGTTTGAGCTGCAGCTCTACCAGCAGCTTGTCTTTCTATTTTTTTTTTTTTTTTGGTCTTTCTATTTTTAAGACCTGAAAGTATAAACCATTTCACTTGGGTTTTCTTCCTCTATCTTGACTGGAAGTCACAAGCAGCACAGATAATCAGTAACAGCCGAACGTCTTTACGGTCCCTTCGTCAGCTGCCTTCGTGGCCCCATCGGAAAACCTGGCTGTGGTTGGAGCCTGGAACTGTGGAGGCGGCTTCAGGTGGAGCCCGAAATCAGAGGCGGCCTAAGAAAATGATGAGACAGCAGGGGAAGGAGGCAGAGGGAGAAAGGTGGA